GTTACTAGTCCGTATCAAAATTTCAATGACATTTTTCACAGAAATAGAACAAGCAATCCTGAAATTTGTGTGGAACCAGAAAAGATCCCAAATAGCTAAAGCAATCTTTAGAAAGAACAAAGCTGGGGGCATCACACTACCCGATTTCAAACTATATTACAAAGCAATAGTAATCAACAGTGTGATGACATGAAAACAGATCAATGGAACAGAATAGAGAGTCCAGAAATACACCCACACATATATCGTCAATTAATTTACCACAGAAGAGCCAAGAATATACAATGGGGAAAGTGGTGTTGGGAAAACTTGATAGCCATAGGCAAAAGAATGGAACTGGACCACCATCTTAACACCATATACAAAAATTAAAATGGATTAAAAACTTGAACTTAAGACCTGGAACCATAAAACTCCAAGAAGAAAACATAGGTGGTAAGCTCCCTGACATCATTTTTGGCGATGATTTTTTGGATTTGACACCAAAAGCAAAGGCAACAAAAGCAAAAATCAACAAGTAGGACTACATCAAATTAAAAAGCTTCTACACAACAAAGGAAACCATCAACAAAATGAAAAGGCAACTTACTAAATGGAAGAAAATATTTACATATCATATCTGATAAAGGGTTAATGCCCAAAATATAACATATCATGTCTGATAAAGGGTTAATGCCCAAAATATATAAAGAATTCATGCAGCTCAATAGCAAAAAAAGAAAAAGAAAAAAATGGGTACAAAATCTGAATGGACATTTTTCTAAAACAGACATACATATGGCTGACAGGTACATGAAAAGATGCTCAGTGTGACTAGTCATCAGGGAAATGCAAATCAAAACCACAAAGAGCTATCTATCACCTCACCTGTTAGAATAGCTCATAAAAAGGACAAAAGATAACAAATGCTGGTGAGGCTGTGGAGAACAGGAAACCCTTGTGCACTATTGATGGGAATGTAAATTGGTGCAACCACTATGGAAAACAGTATGGAGGTTCCTCAGAAAATTAGAAGTAGAAATATTTCCAGTTCCATTTCTGGTTATTTATCTGAAGAAAAGGAAAACACTAACTTAGAAAGATATATGCACCCCACGTTCACTACAGTATTACTTACAGTAGCCAAGATATAGAGACAGCCTAAATATCCATGGACGGACGAATGAACAAAGAAAATGTGAGATGATTGATAGATTAGATAGATAATTATTCAGCCATAAAAATGAATGAAATCTTGCCATTTGTGGCAACATGAATGGATAGATCTTGAAGATGTTATGCTAAGTTAAATAAGTCAGACAAAGACAAATACCATATGATCTCATTTATATGTGAAATCTGAAATCAAATAAAAAAAAAAAAAGATACAGAGAAACAATTGGTGGTTACCAGAGGCAGGGAATAGAGGGTAAAGGGGGTCAAAAGGTACAAACTTCCAGGTATAAAATAAGTCATGGGGATGTAATGTACAACATGAGTTAACACTGTATTGTATATTTGAAAGTTACTAAGAGATCTAAAAGTTCACACCACAAAAAAATTCTGTAACTATGTATGGTAATGAATGTTAACTAGACCTATTTTAATCATTTCACAATAATAGAAATATCAGATTAAAAGGGTTAGCAAATTAGAAATAGATGGAAACATCCTCATTCTGATGAAGAGCATTTACAAAAAAAAAAAAACCTAGGATTAACATCATCCTTAATTAAGTATCGAAAGTTTCCTCCATAAGATTAGGAACAAAGGAAGGATATTTGCTTTCACTATTTTATTTAATAAGTAATAGATGTCCTAACCAGGATGATAATAAGTCAAGTTAAAAAAAAAATAGCATAAAGATTGCAAATAAAGAAGTAAAACAATCCTTCTTTGCAGATGACATATTTACCTAGAAAACCCTAAAGTATCTACAAGAAAGCAACTATGTGAAAGAAATTAATATAGTGGCATCACAAAATACAAAGTCAATATACAAAAATTAATTGTATTTCTATACTATAATCAGTAAACAACTAAAAAATGAAATTTTTGAAAATTCTTTTTGTGAGTATACCAAGAAGTCTAAAAACCTTAGAAATGAACTTTATGAAAGATATACAAGATCTCACCCTGAAAACTACAAAAACATTCCTGGAAGAAATTTTAAAAGATAGAAATAAATGAAGATATTTTCATCATTTGGAAAACTCAATATTATTACAATGTTTATTCTCCACAAAATGATCTATAGATTTAACAGTCCCAATCAAAATTCTAACTAACATTTTAGTAGAAGTTGACCACTTTCTCATAAAATTTGTGTGCAAAGGCAAAGAACTCTTAACGGCTATAACAATCATAAAAAAGAATGAAATCGAAGAACTTAAACTCATTTTAAGATTAAAGAAAAAAAATAAATTATTTGCTAATTACAAAGGGAATCACAAAATCTTTACAGTGAGAAATCTGATGTCCACTGATTAATCATCTTGTGATGGTTAATTTTATGTGTCAACTTGGCTGAGTCATAATACCCAGATATCTGGTAAAACATTATTCTGGATATTTCAGTGAAGGTGTTTTTTGGGTAAGATTAAGACTTAAATAAGAGGACTTTGAGTAAAGCAGGCCTCATCCAATCATTTGAAGGTTTAATAGAACAAAGACTGACCTTTCCTGAGCAAAAATATTTTGGAGCAGATGGCCTTTGAACTCACAACAGTAACTCTTTCCTGGGTCTCCAGCCTGCCAGCTGCCCCTGCAGATTTTGGACTTAACAAAGCTTTTATGGTATGTGAATTATATCTCAATCATGTGAGCCAGTTTCTTAAAATAAATTAATATCTCCCCCTTTACTCATTCCCACTCCCCTTCCGCGTGCATGCGTGTGCGCGCGTACACACACACACACACACACGCACATCCTGTTCGTTTTGTTTCTCTGGAGGACTATGACTAATACCATCTTAAACCAATAATCGAATTTAGCATCAAAAAGTACAGATCATGCTAACATTTCATGGCATCAGTTATGAAGGATTCTTGCCAAAAATATTAAACCTGATCCAATCATTCTTTATACCTGATTTCTAGTTTTCTGGAAATATAGGAATTAGAAAAACAAATTAGACTACACCACTATCAGACAGATCCAGAATGTGTAAACTTCTATAAAACAATTGGTCTGGCACTTTAGTTAATGTCTTTACAAAAAAGTATTTTATGTTAAAAGAGACTAAAGAGACATATGTAGTGAATGTCCATTAAGTTATTCTCAATTTGAAAAAAAAAATCTATAAATGATATTTGGAGTACAAATAAAAAGGCAAATAACCCAATTTTAAAAATGGGTTCGGAATCTCAATAGACATTTCACCAGAAATGGTATACAGATGGTCAGTAGGAACATGAAAAGATAGTCAACATCATTGGCCATCACAGAAATGCAAAACAAAACCACAATGAGATACTACTTCACACACCCACTAGCATGGTTGTAATCAAAAAGACCAATAATAACAAGCGTTGATAAGGACATGGAGAAATCGGAATGCCAACACTGCTTGTGGAGATATAAAATGGAAAACATTTTGAAAGTTTTTCAGAAAGTTAAACATAGAGTTACCATATGACCCAGCAATTCCACTTCGATGTATATACTAAGAAAAATGAAATCACATGTCAGTACAAAAACGTGTACATGAATGTTTGTAAGCAGTATTATTTATAATAGCCAAAAGTAGAAACAAATGTCCATCAACTCATAAATGGATAAACCAAATACAGTATATTTTTATATCTGTATAATGGAATATCATTCAGTTATAAAAAGTACCAAACTATACTGATAGCCGCTACAATGTATATGAACCTCAAACGCATCATGCTAAGTGATGGAAACCAGACACAAAAGACCACATAGTATATAAAATGTCCAGAATAAATAAATCCGTAGAGACAGAAAGTATATTGGTAGTTACCAGAAAGCGAATGAAGGGAAGAATGGATATGGGGTTTTTGGGGGTCGACAAAAGTATTCTTTAATTAGTGGCATTAGTTGGTCAACTTTTATGAATATACTCAAAACCACTGAATTAATACATTGTAAAAAGGGAAATGTTAAGATTTGTGGATATCTCAGTAAAGCTGCTATTACAAAAATAATAAAATAATGGTTACAATGAACTCCATTGTCAAACTGGAATCTTTCCTGAATGGCAATAACTCTTTCCTAAGAATACTGGAGGCTTCATGAAAAGAGCAATTTAACTTGTTTGTACTTGGCCTTTGAGACATCTAAGGCTGATACCCTCCCTAGGGCCTACAAGGATGTAGTGACTAAGAGTACACTAAATATAGATGCTGATAATCTGAAAACTGTTTTGCACTGAAAAGAAATGGTTCCCTTGAATCTGAGACTTAACAGAATTGAAAGCATCAAAAGAGCAGCTGTATGAACATTTCTAGTAGCAGATACCATCTACATGTCAGTGTGGGGAGCCTGTGCCACAGGTTTAGCAAACCTATGCCAGTGGAAATCTCAGTGTAACTAAATATTTCTAAAATCTCAATAATTTTAAGTAATAGTAAATATAATAAAATGCTAGAACAGTAAGAGGAGTAAGATAGTCTCTTGGACTTGATTGTAATGGCATATGACTTATATGTTATTGTCAATAGCTTAAAATTTAGTCAACTTATTAGGGATAGAAAGAGTAAAGGATAATAGTTTGCAGTATAGCTAGAAATAAGAAACAGTACAATGATGATGAGTCCAAATGAATGGTAAAAACCAAAAATGCTGTTACATTCAAAGTTTGCACTAGTAAACAAGTACAGAGCATCTGTTTTTGGCATGGTACCCTCCCAAGTATGTAGAGGAAAAGACAAAAAGAGAACCCCTATCTAAACTCCATGATTTAAAAGTTAGGTCAGTTATTCTAAACCTGCTTCCCACTTTAATAATTTTATATTCATAAAAGCCAAAAGTAATGTTTTCTCTTTTTCTCTAATAGATGCTGTGAGAGAAATAAGGAAATATTCCTCTACTTCTTCCATTGAAAAGAGCTCACCCAGCAGACCTGGTGCCCATGAACATACACAGATGAAACTTTTTAGGTCGCAAAGAAATCTTTACATTTCTGGATTTTCGCTATTTTTTTGGCTGTGAGTAAAAAAAAAAAAAAAAATTAAAATATGATTTATGTTTTCATTATTTTTAACCGACACTACAGATTTTTTCTATACTGTTTTGTATACTAACATCTTCATAAAAGAACTCAGATGATATATATACTCAAATAACAAGCAATAGTTATGGTTTGCAGGTTTGATAGGTTCAAAAGCCCTGCATAATCTGACCCCTGCTTCTCTTTAGAGGCTTGCCTCATACTTTTCTCTGACATGTATACCACATTCCACCCACACTGACCTTCACTGTTAATTCATTCCTGCAACAAGTATTTATTGAGTTTCTATTCTGTACCTAGCTCCTTCCTACTTCAAGGTCTTCATACCTGTTTTTCCTTCTGCTGAGAACACTTTGTCTTCCCCTCTTCCCCTGACTAACTTTTCTCATCCTTCAGTGCCTTTCTCAGAGAAGCCTCTGTGACCATCACTCCCCACAAAGTAGGTAGATGTCCTCTTGTACACTCCCATAGATTGTATGTGTACTTTCCTTTTGCATATCATTCATGGTTGTACTTAAATACTGTTTTAACTCTTGCTCCCCAACTGGAACCTAAAGTACCTGAGAGCAGGGACTTTGTCTCGTTTTCTGCTATGTCCCCAGTGCCTAGCACAGTGTTTAACACTTAGCAGTTCCTGAGGAAATACGTTTTGAATGAATAATTGAAGATGTTAATTACTACTTCTAACAATAGAAGTTACCCATAAACAGATGCAAACAAGTAGTTTCTAGGCTTGACCAGCCTCATACATTGCTCTTTAAATAGCAAAATTTTAACTAGGCCGGAGAGAGAGAGGGAAGAGGAGAGAGAGAGAGGAGCGGGAGGTAGGGGAGGGAGAGAAGAAGAGGATAGAGGGGAAGTGGGAGAGGCAGACACTTCTCTTACTGGTCCTGCTACACTATCTAAAATTCTGTTTCTGCTCCTCCCAGCTAGAGGTATCTACAAAGAAAATAATTAAATTAGTAAATACCATTGAACCTGTATTCCAAATGCTTGTCTTCTAACAAAGATTCCAAACGAATGAGAGAGACATAGGCATGTTTTAACTGGAAGACTCCAATTAAAAAAAATATATATATATATATGTCCTACCTAAACATCATCTCTCTACCACACCCATACCTAAAAGGGAGTTGTTTGACAATGACTATTTCAAAGTTTTTTTTTTTCCTTAGAGTTTTAAGACGTCTGGTTACCCTTATTACTCAGCTGGCAAAAGAACTGTCAAACAAAGGAGTACTTGAAACCCAAGCAGAAAAAACTAATGTGGCTGCCAAAAAATTCATGAAAGAGAATGAAAAACTAAAACGGGTATTTAAATTTTCTTTTTAAAATTTGTGTAAATGTTGTTGATATTCCCAAAGGATGATATATTTCAGCATCAAAAAGAGCATTTTCATAATTTAGAAGCAGAAAATGACCATAAATAGCAACTGTTCTGCAGAATGATTGTTTCAAAAGCATCTTATTATCCTTTAGATTTCTTTGTTCTCAAAGTTTCCCTCAATAGTAAATTAACACCTTTGGACCTACTTCGTATGATTCAAGGAGAAAACAGTATGGGAATGTGAATTTTAATTCCTTTATTACCATTAATTTTACTTTATAACCTAAAGCAAGTCTTTTTAAGTCTCTATGTTTCCATTTCCTTTTCAGTTAAATTATTTTTGTAAGCCTGTTTGTTTTGTTTTTTTCTTTTGAATGATAGTTATTTAGGAAGCAGAGGAAAATAGTTGCGGTAGATTGATAACTGCATATAATATTTAAAATCTTTAGTTTGACGATGCTGCTGGTAACCTTTCTTTGAGAACCTTATGCTTCCTCTACCATCCAGGGAGAATGTGAATCAGGTATTGTTGCCCAACCCCCCCCCCACCCCCCAAAAAAGAAGAAGAAGAACATATGGAAAAATGAAAGATACAAAATTACTTTGGATATTTCTTAAGTTTAAAATTTAGGAGTCAGATGTCATAGCTTGAGTATTTTTAGTTCATATTAAGCCTCATAGGTTTTACTAATTCTGCTTCTTAGAACAAAAGAATCAGTGGAACCATTTGGAATCAAAACAGATTTTCTTGAAAAAATAATCCCTAAAATAATGAAATATTATTTATCTGTCATAAATAAAATGCAGTTAATCTTTTGTTACACTGTTAAATGTATGCAGAAAATATTGTGAGTCCAACAGTAGAGAATACAAATCCTTATCCAACTCCTAAAGCCTAGCCTCTTATAGAAAGAACTATAAGCACCACCTTTCATCAATTCTAAATGAGTTAGCTATTATATAGTGCAATATAAAGCTTTCAAAATCTATTAAATATGGCAAAACTCATTTCACAAAATTGTGCTCGATACTACAGTATCATGGTCACCTATGCAAAACCTTTGTTTTATTTTTTATGTCTGCTTTATTTTCACTACTACAAAAATGTAAAGAAAGATCTATTTTCATAGTAACAGAACTCAAAAATGTTTCTTTGTGTAGATTGTAACCAGCATCTTTTAAGGAAACTTTTAGAGAATAAGCACCAGTTTATTTTTTACTTTGTTTTGTTCTGTTTTGAAAAGGCATTGATTCACAGATGTCATGTAAATATCCCTTTGTAATAAATGTAGGTCTGGGAAATTAAGCTGTTGGTATTTCTGAATTCAAAAGCAAGCAATAAGTCATTTTCGCTTTTGGGGGTAGGGAGGGTAACATTTCAGCAACACAATCAGCCTCATTTAGTACCTTATTATTTGCTTCATTTTCTATCCTTTGCTCTCATTTTACGATGAGAACAACACAAAACCCCAAAGCTTTGATTAATGTGTTGGCTAAACTCAAAGCACACAGCCTTGCATTGCAGACTTACTGTGTGTCTAGCTTGATTTAAGTAGTCTTACTGTGTGCCCATCTTGTCACATTAATGAGTTGTAACTACTAATAGCACAGTGCTTTTTTTTCTCTTGTTCGTTAGTATTTTTCTTCTACTCTTCAACTCTAAGAAAATGGAAGATGTTTTCATAAAGTTTTGGTACCATTATTTTCCTCATTTCCATCATAATTAATGTGCTTAAATTAGTCTTGTTCTTCAAAAAAAAAAAAAAACACCTTCCTCAAAACATTTTTGGAACCTTTCTTTGGAAATTGTTTTCAGAACTAGTTAACGTTACAAGGAAGTTTACTTCATTACTACTAATTTTTTGATTCCCCCACAATTTCTCCCTGTTTTTGTTTTCCTTCCCTTTGGTTCGATGCTGTTCTGGTTTCCTGCTTCCTGCATGTCTTAACCCAATCAGTGGCCCTACATCATCAGAGGTGCACAGATATGCTGGGCTAAAGCCAGTACACAGTGGGGAGAAAGTGTGTGAGCTGGACATAAATACTCTCAGTACCCAAAATGCAACTAATTGACCAATAAAGGTCATGGGTCAGAATGTCAAAGATGACTTCTATTTCAAGATACTTCATTCATGTAGGTTTTGATATACTAGCTAAGGAAAGATAAAATTGCTAAAACACCTCTTCATTCTCTATCAGAGACACATTATCTAATGGAAAGTGCATTGCCCTGAGATCCAACTTGGATAAAGCCAACTTTACCAAGAATTAACATTGTGATCTAGGGCAAGTCACCTCATATGTTCTGGGCCTCAAGGTTATAAATAATTGCTAATACTGTGCTAGACTTCAAATGCTTCACAGTAAGATATTAACTCTTAATTTTTGCAACAACTTTATGAAGTTGATACTGTTACTATCTGCCTTTTATAAATAAAGAAATGGAGGCACAAAAATGTTAGGTGACTTGCACGAATTCATTCATCTAATAGATGACAGAACTAAGATTGGAGTCCTAGCCATCTGACTCTAGAATCCTCACTCTTAACCACCTTGTTTTGTCCCTTTGCTCCTATGCCAGCCTATGAAAAGACATACAGATAGTGCCTAAGACCCCTTTGTGTTCTGATAGTCAGTTACTGAAATGAGATAATTATGAAAGATAAATTAATTTTTAATCGCTGTAAATGGCAATGGTGATAAAGTTTACTTCTTACTAGATTTTTTCTAGCCACGTACCAAGGTGAGATAACAGTGAACATGTGCATTACTGTAGTTGGTAGCTATTGAATTTCAGATTCCAGGATTCTTGGTCTTTCTCTAGCATCAAGTTACATGTAATAAATTTGGACAAATTTACAGGTGCAGTAATGAAAGCTTATTTATAAGACCAACACAAATCCAACTTTTCCAAGTAAATGGCATAATAATTCAAGCAGTCAGTGTAAACATTCCTGTAACTCAGTGGTTCCCTTGCAATTTGGGTAATCACTGGAGACTGTGTGAACTGAACTTAGTGAGGTAGGATTGTTTTGAACTTGAAGTGTATAACAAATTTATAGAGATTTGGAGGGTTTTTTTCTTGTTTATGCTCTTAAATTTTTTAAAAAACATTTTTGAAGGTATAAAGATTCTTCCATTGCATGTGCTTCAGTCCTCTTATGTCCTCAAAAAATTCTTGGTATTATATAATATATTTATTAGAACTTTAATTTCTCCTCCTGAGCTGACTAATTTATTATAACACAGTAGTACTGTATTTGATCTTGTGCTATAATGTGCATGCTCTTGTTTCATCTTTTTTTCACTAGATCGAAGTTACCTGAGAGCAGAGACCATATTTCTCTTACATTTTTAACCCTGATAGCACTGAATATTGTAAAATATTTGCATGTAGTCAATGCTCAGTAGAACTGTATGAGTTTGTTTGTTGAATATACCAACTTATATTAATAAAGGAACTACCCTTCAGTAGAAATTCTTTTCTATGTCAGTCTGTTTAAATTGTCCTGTGTTGCTTTTTCACTTGACTGTGGAAGCTGTCAGTACCAAGTTGATGCACTTTAGTCAACTAACTAAAGAATGTTTGGCTGTTGCAAACTAAGCTTATTTCTTCTATAATTCTCTTCTCTAATAGCTCTTGAAAAGCTATAACATGGAAGAAGAACACATTTTGGAAGCAGAAAATAAAAAACTGGTAGAAGACCAGGAAAAACTGAAAACTGAATTAAAGAAGACTTCAGATGGTAACTTTGTGTGCATGTGCCAAAGTAGAAAGAACATGATATTTTATGCTGTTACACTTCACTGTTTTCCCTAAAACAAAACTAATGGCTAAATGTTCTTGTGGCTAAAATACCAAGAGTGACCTATTTATAAATTCCTGCTCAAATATGAAGATAAAACATTGTTTCAGCCAAGAGAAACATGCTCTGTTATACAGAACAACATGTAGGTGTTTCAGATCTGTGTTGTAAATAGAGATGTTCCTGCCTTAGCAAAAGAGCAATGTTCCTGAAAAGTTGCTTGTAAACACATTTTTGGAAAATAAATCACGTTTTTCCATCATAGTGTATTGCTCCTTTGAAAGAAGGTATTGCAGAAGGACAATTTTGGAAAATATATTGCTAATCTCAAGACATAATATTTCCTATGTGCCAGATAGAAGGAAAGCATTCCTTGGAAAAAGATGGATCAGCATAGAGTAAGAACAACCAGGATGTCAGCTGAGAATTTGAATATCTCATTCCAAAATACATTGCAATGAGGACTTGGGGTAGAGCATCCTAACTTCATTTCCTTGAAGGCAGCTATTTCTTCTACATTTTTTGTTTATTTTGAAAAATAGTTGTGATAGTATGTCCTTTTTTTTTTTTTTTTTTTTTTTTTTTAGTCAAGAATAAATTATTGCCTGCAGCTGCTTAGGACAGAAAAGTAGATGAGATGACCTCAAGTCCAATGTCATCCCGAAACTCTGTATAAATGTTTGTGGTTTGACCCTAGGCAACATTTCTGCATATAACAGATATTCCTTGATGTTGTCCAGACACTGGGGAACCTCTCAGCCAGTCAGAGTTAGGATAATGAACAATGCACAGAACTCCCATTTCAGGTTTCTTCTATACTCTATGTTGGAGATAAATTAGAGAATTTTCAGTGACTGAATCAAGGACCTATTTTACGCCATTTGTAAATTTAGATTTTTTAAATAGGCCTCAGTATAATAGAAGTTCTCTGTACTATAACTTGCAAATTGATAATTAGTTTACATTGTTTAGATAGAGTTTACTTCATCAAGATGTATTTTAATTTGAGATGGAAAGTCTGAAGATAAAAGCTAATTCTGTTAAAAAAAAAAAGAAAGGAAAACAAAAATCAATAGGATATTTCATGTGATATACAATTTTTTAGTCACTTTACTACTTAAAGTGAAAAAAAATCAAGAAATTGTTCAGAGGCAGTAAGTTAAAAAATAAGTTACTCTTCTAGGCATGGTGATATATTATGTGGTAGGTATAGTATAATCCAAAATTCAAAATTCTGCCGTAGCTGGTACTGTTGGCTCTTCTGCAATTCCAAAAGATTTGGAACATGATCAAGGAGTTTTAATATTTGTATGAAAATAAATTTAATAATCACCCTCTATGTTAGACATTTTAGAAGAGAAACAGTGTTCTCTTTTTGCCCAACACAAAATATTGCTGCTAATCCTTCTGAAGAATGCAAGGGACTATTTTCAAAATACCTTTAATTAGTTGTAAAAATTGTTTCAAAATCTTACTTTCTTTCATATCTGTCAAGGATCCTTTTTCTTATGTTGCAAGCAGGGAGGTACAAAATTAAAAGACAAGAATAGGTTGTGTGCCATGCTACACCTTTGGCTAGTTTAGTTTCTTCCTTTGCCTTTCAAAAATTTCAACTTTGAGATGTTTTGAGCTTCACCTTTATAAGTCTGAGCTATAACTTCTAAACTCATTATTATTTAGGAATAACATAAAGAAACTCAATATTTCTTTAACAGACAATTGAAATGTTTGGAGAAAATGAACTCTCTGATAATATAGACATTGCATTTCTAATCTAATAACAGGAGAATACTAGCTTCTGTGTTTAAAGTGTAGACTGCAAAACTACTTTCAAAATGAATCAATGTTGAAGTGAAAGCAGATTTTACTTGATTAAGTATGTCCTGCTTGGTTCCTACAAGGTGTGTAGTATTTTATGAACACATTTTATTTACCCAAAGTTATTATTTTAGATAACATTATTAACAACCTTGAGAAGATCAAAGTTCTATTTCTAAAAGAAGTATATCCTTGGCTATGTTCTCTTGACCTACACTAGTCAAATTCATTAAGGCAAGAACAAAGAAATTATAAAACTAATAGGACAAGATTTGGAAGAATTTAAGCAGCCCAATGCTTCGTACATAATACCATTTAAAAATACTGAGTTCTAAAGATTGAGGGTATCAAGGCTGACAATGCTTAAGAAATGTTTCAGAAATTTCTTTTTTATTTGAAAATTGAGTAGAAAAGCAATGTGGTTTATTTTTTAATAGGGGTAAATAGAGTATTTTCTATACAATTTGTCTTACCCTTGGTGTTTCTTTAAGTGAAACATTTTCTCCAAGGTGTGTTAATAGAACATAAAGCATAAATACAATTGTTTGTTTAAGCTGGTTAACCCCATATTGGAGAAGTGGCATTCTGTAGGTAGGTATTAAGAACACTGTTTTAGTAGTGCCAAACTGTCCATCAGTTTTTAACTCATTTTGACCAAAGTTAGTAAATTACCTGTGCTTCAGTGCAGTAATATGACTTTAGTGATCCAAACGAGTGTGCACGTAATTTACACTCAAGACTAACTTAGGTGTAAAGATCTGATCTGTCATTTTTTAATGATCTATTTAACAATAAATCTAATGTCCCAGTGTGTGGAGTAATTGGGAAAGGACACTGCCATGAAAAATGATACTTAAGTTTTGAAGAATTTACAAAGCACACAAGCTTTCGTAATAAAAATAGATCTTGTATGTAGTGGATAATCATCTGATTCTGATGTCCAAGGAGAAAGGACTCTTTCAGGATAGCCATTATATTTGTTCTTAGAAATAAATATCTTCTCAATATTATTCTTATAACTGGAGGAAGTATGTACCATTTAATCACTGCATTATCCAGGCAGTGGTGAAAGTAGTTATGATTTTAAAAGTGGTTGAACTGCATGTAGAACTGTCTCTCCTTCATTTCTTTAGGAACAGGAATATATCCACGACATGCTGCATTAAAAGAGTTCTCAGGGCTGCCATCTTATAGTAGATGTTGAGTAGTGGTAGTATACTTCTCTTACATAAAGGGAAAAGAAAAAGAAGAAAAGGCCAAAAAGCAATCAGAGTAAATTCTTTGACTCTGCCTTTATTCTCTCTTTTCTTTCCTTCCTCCCTTCCCCTCTCTTCCTTTTCTACTTTTCCATCCTTCCCTTTGTTTCTTCCTCCTTTCTTTTCGTCTTTTCTTCTCTCCTTTCTTTTTTCTGTTCCTTTCTTTCTATCGATTTTTTTAAAGAACTTTTCAAATAATTTATTCATTGCAAGATTTTTTACTGTGGAACATAATTAAAACTTTTCAAAAACCATACCTTTTGAAGATTAAGCAAAATTTTGATGTTACCTAAATAAAGTATATACAAACAGAACAGAAACTTAATGTAAAGGCCCATTCTGTATACCTAATATTGGCAACATATAACAAGGACCTTAGATTTGGACAAAGTAACAGAACCTTCTAGTCTTTTTTAGTCTTCTAGTTGATAATTCACTTCTCTTCTTGATAAATGCTTCCATATAACTGTAGCTTACCTTGAAAAGAGCTAACATTTCTTTTTACACACCAACTTCACTATCTTTTAAAGATGTTAGAGTAAAAAAAAAAGTCATCATCCTCTAATGCCAGTAATAAGTCATACTAACATAGGGACCAGGAAGGAAAAATAATTGGAGTCCTTTTCAGGAGATTGAAGATCAAGATACAAGAGAAAATTACGGGGAAATTACTATTCTATATACCAGTAAACCTAAATTCCTGCCTCTTGAGTCTTAAGAATAAGACATAAGCTTTTTATACCAATTTAAAACTACACAGTTTCCAATACCTTACAAAGGAACTTTTTGAGCCATCTATCTAAAAATAAATTCTCCAAGTTCAACCTAAGCATTTTACAGTTGTAAATTTTTATGGGCATGAACTGAATTATCTTTAACTTACAATATATCAAAGCCACCATCTTACTTTAAAATTATTAATACTTTTAAAAATCTGGTAGTTTTGGTCATACTATATTTTTGCTTTATTACCTTTTAATGAGTTTTTATGATTTGAATAAGAAAAAAAATGTTTTTCCTCCTCTATTTACACACCTGGAAATTCCTTCTTCCTTGATAGTTCCTTCCCTTCTTTTATTAGCTG